CAGTACTGCTACTGACAGTAGCAGTACTGCTACTGACAGTAGCAGTACTTTTTCTGACAGTAGCAGTACTTTTTCTGACAGTAGCAGTACTTTTACTGACAGTAGCAGTACTTTTACTGACAGTAGCAGTACTTTTACTGACAGTAGCAGTACTTTATCGTCGAAAACCCTCTCAAATTTTCCTTTTTACTGACAGTAGCAGTACTTTTACTGACAGTAGCAGTACTTTTACTGACAGTAGCAGTACTTTTACTGACAGTAGCAGTACTTTTACTGACAGTAGCAGTACTTTTACTGACAGTAGCAGTACTTTTTCTGACAGTAGCAATGGTCGAGGTCGAACCTACCGACGAGGCAATTTACCTAATTGAACTTAACGACTGCGTAAAAGACTACTTGCGCAAGGTCATGAAGCCCAAGGTCAAGTTCACCACTATTTCTGGAAGGGCTGCCTTGAATCTCGAGACTTCGACTGGAATTCCAATTGAGGTACCAGACGGGACAGCCTACGACGACATAAAGCAAGCAAAGAAGGAAGCCATTATAAAGTTCTTTGCCAAGCGTCCTTGGATACTACTTCCAAACAGAGAGAGTCCAATTCCACGAATTATACAAATTCTCAGAGCACTGTTCCACTTCTCGGGTCAGCCGTTCTTCATAACCTGTGAAGGCGACATCCAACCAGTTCAGTAAACATCTCATTTTAACTTCACTTTTTTATGTTTTTTGTGAAAGTGTCAAAAATAAATTGTTTTCATGAGTTTTCTACGATGTTAGAAAAGTGGTTAGAAAACGTGTTAGATCTAACATGCTAACATAAACATTATTTTTCAATACTTTTTCAGCACTTTTCCGTAGTTATATATGAAAGACAATTCGAGATAAAAGTCATAGTACAATGGAATAATATGTTGCACACCATTTGTTGTGAACCAAACTTGAAAGTCAGAGAAACTGTTACTAGGTGGTTCGTAGAATTTAGAAGCAAAGTCATAAAAGTCCTTACCAATACATAGAAAACTATTGTTGCTTGAACTGAAACTTGCATGACACATAACATTTTGAGGGTCAAACACGTTTCTATAAACTGTCAAATCTGCTGGTGGAAGTATAAATTGAAATGGACCATCTGGTGGTAATGGTTCGTTCTGGTTTAGTAACCGAAGAAATTGTGCCCAAGAACGTTTGTCTACTTTCCAAAATAAAAACTCTGTATCTCTTGGAGGGTTAATTTCAATCTTTTGAAATGAAACGGTGGAGTTCATCTTGTCATATTCTAGTTTCAGATAGTATGTTCCATTTAGTAAAGAGTCGTATTTTTCTTGAAATTCCCAATAATATTTGTTCATTTGAGTTTGAAAGTCATTTAGAGTTTTCTCAAGACTTTCGTCTGAACGAACTGTAAAGATTCTCATTTCGTCAAATTTGTCTATTAGACCATCAGAACCTTTATACTGCCCATGAAAATATACTGCGAATATAAATGCGTTAGTTCTATTTGAAAACAAAACTCTTCTAAATCCTATTGCCTTTGCATCTGAAGGACTTTGAAGCCAACGAATTGGATAGTCAAACCTGTATACTCGGGATGAAATTTCTTCATCTGAAATAGTCCTACCAGCATTTGTAAAGATATAGTCTAACGGTTTTGTATCTGCTACTTTTGTTCTTTGTTTTTCAACCTGAAGCATTTAATATATGTAAAAATATATTGTTTTAAAATGGTATGCCATTTCATATTTCTCATCTAACAAACAAGTTTCCCAACGGTCTTCTCCAACAAACTCAGCGTACATTTCAAATTCGAATAAAAAAATGTCACTTTTTTAAAATAAATTTTTTACTTCATGCAATGTTTAACACATCGAAAGGCATGTCCATAAGACGTTCTTCTTCTAACCTCTCTAGTCTGTTTGGATAATTTGCACGTGCTGTTTCCAAATCCATTTCGTAGCGAAGACCAGCCAGTTTGTCATAGACTTTTATGGGTCTTCCCTTCCTATATTTAAACTTCTTCGAAACTCTCCAACCATATCTTTGCAACTCTGCTTTTATTCTAGCAGATTTTCTATCCATTCTATATGGGGGCATTTTTATAAAAATAAAAAAAAATATTTTTTTCTTTACTTAACATAACCGCCTGCTGCCATAAGTCTTTGACGCCAACCCATACCAGCTAATGAAGGTTGACTTGGTTTAGTTTCCAAACTAAACTTTGGTTTTGGTTTATCTTCAGTTTTTGGTTTTTCTTCTTCTATCGGTTTTTCGTCACTTTTCGGTTTCTCTGACTTTACTTCACTTGCAGGAACAGTTGTGTCGTCAACATCTTCATAAATATCATATGCCATTTGTTTTTGTTTTCCTTTCAACTTTTTGTGTTTGTTGTAAAGTTTAGAATATTTCGACTCTAAGTCAATGAGATGTTCTATAATGAACTGTTGGTCAGTGAAGTAAACTTTTCCATCTGTTGTCTCGAAAGCTCCTTCAGACTTCAATATTTTATTTGTGAGAGTCTGTTTCTTTTTTGAGATACTTGCCGTTCCATTTTTATGAAAAGTGACTTTGTAGTTAGGGTTTGTATTTCCAGACCTGGCACTTTCTATTATTGAATTTTTCTCTTCATCTGTAAGTTCTTTGACAGGTTTTGACAATGGTTCTGAACTTTTTGTTTGTGGTGTCAAATCTACCGTTTCAACTTCTTCGGTCATTTCATCTCAGTAAAAAATTTTAGTTTGGTTTGTTTTCAACTGGTTGTTTAGGTTTTTTAAGTCGGTCTAAAACTTCCTGAGGTATAGGAAGAACTTGACAAACACGTTGTGTAACTGCTGGAAGCCGACAAATCCATCTTGAACCCATTTGTCTCAATGCTGTATTGTTCATTTCATCTCAGTAAAAAACTTTACATTCCCCACGTTTGAGGCGGTTGAGGTTGGTTATTGTTTACCCATTGTTGTGCATGGTTATATCCTCTGTTAAAGAATCTTTCACCTTGGTCCATATAGTGTCCTGCTTGGTTATAGTAGTCATTTGCTTTGTTATAATAGTTTCCTGCTTGTCTTCCTACATTGTCCATCCATCCTTGAACTTTTCCTCTTGTTTCAGGATTTGGAATAAGATTTGTTGCATCTCGTGCTACATCCCAACCTTTCTGTACAGTTTGTATAATAGGTTGTGCTTTCTCTTTAAGTATACCTAATGTACTCAAAATCTTCCTTCCAACTCCAAATACACCTCTGGCTATTGTTCCCACTGCGGGCAAAAATCTGGATGCAACTCCTGCTAATGCGCCAAATAAACCCATTTCTTATAGGATAAAATGACGAATCCAAACAAGGACCCCTATGTTTCTAAAGCGACAAAGAAAGCACTCATGTAAAAATCTTTAGTTCAACACCAAATGCTTGGTTTATGGATATCTTGGAAAAACATTCCGAGAGTTAGAACAGATGGACCACCATACTGGCTAATATTTGTCGGTCAAAACACAAGATACTGTGAAGCCATACCATTATGGTCCAAAAATATTTTAGATGTGAAAACTGCTTTGACAATATTCGTTGACAAATACCATCCAACAAAACTGACATCTGACTGTGAAAGTTCTTTCAAATCAGATGATGTAAAAAACTATCTGCGTTCAAAAAATGTAAACCAATATTTCATTGTCGACCAAAACCATTCTGCTCTTGGTGTCATTGACGGTTGTATAAAAATGTTAAGAGACTTAAACCAACCACAAGGTGGTGAAGCAAATGAAATGTCATATGACGACAAATATAGACACTTCTCCATGGCAAAGATGAGACAAGTTTTAAATATTTACAATAGCCGTAAACAAAAAGGTTTTGGGAAACCACTCCCCCGAAGAAATGAAAAACAACCCTGACTTAGAGAAAGACTATATATTTAATAATTTAGTCAAAAGAGACAAACAAGAAAGAATGCCGGGCTTCAAACTTCAGAAAGGTGACAAAGTAAAAATAGAAATACCTAAACGCGACCCATATGAAAATACTATTGACTATGACAACAATGGGAACCCGACAGGTACTCACATTCGTGTTCGTAAAAATAGAAGAAAGTATACAAGAGAATATTATGAAGTTTTAGGCAAACATGGCAAAATGTACAGACTGCAAGCAGAAGATAAAACTACTATTGTCAGACCTCGTTTCAAACTTGTCAAAGTTCAAGGTGGTATACTTTCAAAGACAGTTCCTAACAAATATAAGACAACTCCTGACGAATATGCTAAAGAAGTTGAAAATGACGACTAAGCATTTCTATACCATGCGTAAACTGTCATGTAAGGTTGGCATGTATTCTTTACTTTGTCCCGTTGTTTGCGTATATCCTGAAACGCGATGTGTATGGTTTCCTCCTCCCTCAGTGTTACTCCAGTAACAATTTATAGCAAACTTAACGTTGTCTTTAACATCATATCCTTTACCTTTTGTCATTGCTGACCAATCCCAATATCTATGCTTATGCCAACCTGCTTGAGATGTACTTAAATCTATGTAGTGACTGTGTGCAGGTAAATTTCACCTGAAATCGTTTTACTTCCACCTGTTTCCTTTGAAGAGTTTGCACAATACAAAACCTGTCGACTATTTGAGTCCAAGTTCCAAAACCAAGTACTACTTCTGGTCTGGTAGAGTTCATTGACGTATAAATAGAGCCTATAGGATATAATGTTTGAAGTATTTCTGTCTTTAATGTTTGAAGCTCTGTTTTGTCTGCTTTCTTATCTAACATTGCGGGTAGTTCATGTGCTTCAAAGTTTCTGGCATGACTTTCAATGTTCCTGCAACTGTTATCTAAACTGTTTAGTGTATCTTTTACGCTTGTACTCGGATTTTCTAATGGTGCACTTGAACCAAGGTCAAAGTTCAATATTATGTCGTCTGCTGTAAAAGTTGTAAAACTTGTATGTGTATGAGTCTTATTTGCTTTCTTCTCTAACTCATCGTTAACATAAGTTTTATCTGCTTTAAGGTCTAACATCCTGAAACCCATCCTGTATCAGCTTTAGTTTTTAAAATCTTCGATGTCCATTCATGATACCATTCAGCCCTTTCTATAATTTCATTATCTTTTTCATCCACATATTCCTTATCCGCTTTCTTTTCAAGGCTAACGTTTAAGTCTGTTATTTCAGATATAGAATGTATATGAGTCTTTTTAGAATATTCGTTTTCAGCTCTTGTCACTTCACTTGACATTTTATTGTCAACATATGTTTTGTCTGCTAGTTCAGGATGAGTATGTTCTTTTGTTGCATAAGCATTGTTAGCTCTTTCTTCTTCTTTTGCTATTGCATCGTCTACATATTCTTTGTCAGCTTTGTTGTCAACATCTGCTTTCAAAAGAAGTTCATTTATAGGTTTCTCGTTTAAAGTTCCTTTTGTTGGATTTATACAGACAGTATTGTTCTTCTTGTCTTGAAATAGAAACTCATCTGTTAAAGGGTTTAATGTCAGTTTTAAGTTTCCTTCTTTCAATGACTCAGATATCTTAGAATAGTTTGAAAAGTTTGTTGTGTTCTTATTTAGAGCTTGCATAATGAGTTGTCGGTTGTGTTGTATTTCTCTCATGGAAGCAATATTTTTCGACATTTTTATTCTAGATAAAATATGCTTCCAATAGAAAAAGAAAATTCAAGAGTTGCTACAACTAAACCATTAGATGAACTTTTTACTAATGTCGGTCAAAAGTTTGAGACAGAGACCGTAAAGCATGAAGGCTATCGTTTTGACTACCCATTAAGATGGCTAAGAGACCCATCTGTCACAAAAGCTATTGGCTTTCGTAGAATGAAGTTCATTTCAGAAGCCATACATGGTTTCCCATTTACGGTCGGTTTTGAAGTTCGATACTATAACAAAGAAAAACGTATGTATGAGAAATTTGAACAGGGAAAACTTTTACAAGTTAGTTTGCTTGTAAACTTAGAAACAACTCTTCAAGCTTTTCAAGAAAAAATAAACGATATCTATATCGAATATGCAAAACAGTATAACATTGACGAAGGAGAATACCATCTCGATATTATTTATGACAGGAAAAATGCAACTGTTAAAATCAATAGAATAGAAACCTTGGAGAAAACGTTTTATATTTCTACAAAATATAACAACTTGGCATGGTATAGATTTATGAGGATGTTAAATCAGCCTGCAGCATATCCAGTACACCCAGACTTTTATGAAGTCGAAAACCCTAATGGAACATATGAAAATGTTTTCGACCCAGCTGCTATTATTGTTCATGCTTCATTTTCTGGCGCTCAAAACTCTTTCTTATGCTTTGGCAAATGACTTTTACGAAAAACCTACAAAGTTATACGAACCACCAAGTGGAAGTATTTCAGACTTTCAAGTATGGTTTACTACAGATGGAAGAAAAAGAATAATTCCATTATACCATGCGTTTTACTTAGAACTTAGTTTCATATACAACTACTATCGAACGGTAAAAATATAATTTTTTAATACGGTTGAGGTGTTGGATTTGGTTGCCAACTAGACTGTGATGCAGGTTCAGGCTGTTGTATAACAGGAGCTTGCTCTTCTGGTTCAGGGTCTTTAGGTATAATACCAACAAACTGACCTACCCTTTTACCAATATTTTTGACACCGTTCCAAATTCCTCTTCCTACGGTTTTTATTCCATTCCATATACCTCTTCCAACTCTTCTGAAGAAGTTTCCAATACTACTGAAGAAACCCATTTTACTATATGTAAAAATCTAATGTCCGCCTAGTCTCTTACGTTTCCTGTTGAGTTCCATAGCATTCTTTAACTGGAGCTCATACATTCTGTTTCTCCTCTGGTAGAAAACATATTCTGGGTCAACTCCTGTGTTCGCGTCATCTGCATAAAGTTGTTTATATCCCACTTCAGGGTTTGTATAAAACTCTTTCCATCTCATATTTGCATACCATGGTGGCAAACCTAACGCAGCGTCATTTGACATGGCAGTTTGCATTTGTACATCTGTTGGCACTTGACCATAGTTTGCCATTGCAGTTTGTATTCTAACTTCATTTGGAATATTCTCTGGGTTTGGTTGTCCAGGTTGCTGTGCATTCGCTAAGTTCTGTGCGTCCATTTAATATTAGATAAAAATATCTCTTACGAGTACATATACTGAACATTTGCAGGCATTGGTTCATCTTCATATTCTCTATATCTTTCTGCCACGTCAAAGAAATAAATGACACAATGGAAAAAACCTAAAACAAGTAGTCCTATTTCAAACCACATTTACTTACTAATAAAATTTCTTTGTTATGACACTTTCTCCGGTTTATAGGACCTCTCTCATATTCTATCTTGTCATATATAAACTCATAGTCATGTATGTCCTCTAACCATCTCATAACGGTTTCCAAACCACTTTTATCGGATGTAAAGTAAAAGCATGGACAGTTATGTAAAACGTCTAAAGTTTCTAAAGAGTCTCTCAAAGTCCAGTCTACTTGGTATTGAAAATCCCATGTGTTAAAGAACGGCGGGTCCACTATAAAGAAAACATTTTCCTTGTCTTTATATTTTTCATACAACTCTGTCCAATAACATCTCACAAACTCTATACCCTCAATATATTTTTCTATGTTCTGTTTGAAAACATTTGTATAGTTAAGATATAAAACTTTTGACATAAGTGTTTCAATGTCATGAACTCTTATAGCACCACTATATAATAGTCTAGCAGATATACTATCCCAGTCTATATATTCTGCTTTTTTCAAAACCTCTCTCACAATATTTTTGTTATCTAATGGTATACGTTCCATCTTACCTATAGGTATCTTTTCTTTTAACTCTTTCAATATATTGTTTGTGTCTGGTATATGTTTGAGACGGTCCATATAGTTGTCGAAGTCATTGCATATAATCTTTGAGTCTGGGAATATTGTATGGCACAAATGGGATATATAGAAACTTCCACCGAACAAATCTACAAATGTTAGACCATTCGGTAGTTTCTTAAGTTCTCTCAATATAATATCTTTACATTTACTCTTATTTCCAAAGAACGGTAACGGAGGTTTTGTAAAATTCATTTATATATAATAATAAAAATGTTTTTTCCTGAAAAGTGACAGAAAAGTGACAAAGCATGAAAACATATATAATTTGTGAAAAGTGAAACATTATATAATGTTTTCGACCCAGAAGAAGGCTTCTTCCCAGAAGCAATGGAGGAAGAAGAAGAGTCCTCCGAATTCACACCAGAAGACTAACAATTTTCCGAATAAAAACTTCATTTATACTAAACATCTTCGGGGCTAGAGGGCACGAAGTGCCTGGAAGCCCCACTACTTTTTTTTAAAGCAATATCTCTAACAATAATTAATACATTACGTCAACTCTGGAATGAGTATTTATCAAATATGATATCAAAATCAAAAATTAGTTGTTTTTTATGAGTAAAAACGATGTAAATTGATTATTTGACTAATTATCAAATACTTTGATTTTCCAAATTTTTTTCGAAATTGATTTTTTCATGTGAAAATTTAAATTGTTTAATTTCATTTTTGAAATTTTGAATTTTTTTTGGAATTTTGAGTTGATCAATTCAGCAGAATTGATAATGCTATTGCTTTAGGGCATACCACAAGGTGATGAATAAAAGGTGAACATTAACAAATTATTTTAAATCACAAATATCATCCTCATCAACTTTAATTCTAAAAAGAACTGTACTGAATTATGAAAATGCATGATTTACATTATTAAAATCTTTGAATGAAAATAGTACAAGATAAGTTTTTATTCATTTTTAATTAGATTTAAACGAAAAACTACTCCATATTAAAATTTAAGTCGAGAAATCGTATTTTGTTCTTATTTGTTAGCATTTTGTAGACATTCTAATCTTGAATTAATTTGTTACATGATATTATTAACAAATTTAACTGAAAAAATATGTTAATATGGAATAAACCATGATTATATAAGCTATCAATGCTATATATACATATGTAAAAGATTCATATTAACTCAATTAACAAAAATGATAGATTTTCATAAAGGTTCAATCTAGGTTCGTCCGAAAATTTTGATTTTTATATAGAAGACATAGTTTCATATACATAATTAAATTTTCAAACAAATTTGATCATACCATTTATTAAGCAGGATAGTATATTAATTACTATCAGTATAAAAATATAAAAATGATTATATTTAATTATTGCATAATTTAGTCAAAGAGTTATAAGCCTCAAGTGATTGTTATCACCTTCAATGCACGTATACTTTATTGATTCATAGATATTTAATCTATGTTTGACATGTTGTTGTCGTCATTCGTTTTGTTCCCATTCTTCCTAAGTTAGAATTAGAGAATACACCATCCACATCATCTAATTTGGTCCTCAGCGATAGATTGGTTCATTTTGGAGGAGTCCCATCAGACAGTTTTCGAGCACCAAATATCAAATTTTAATGTATACAAATCTTTAGTGATTTATCTCTTTTATGATGAGTAAAAGGTTTCTGCTCATCAACATTTGATTTCCGACATATATGATTTCTAATTGCAATTATTTACTTTCTTTTTATAATCTAACTCTGTGACTTATACCATAAATTAATTATTGGAAAGTGTCAATATGTTTGGCACAACGCATGGCGGAAGATACCAAACCATGCAGGGAATATGATACGTTTAAGATCTCCGAACTTTTTTCCAAAAATTTTCTATCGTTGCCCTACCTCTCTCATCAATTGAGAGTATGAAATTTTTGAATGCTGCATCATGTAAAGTCATTTCAAGAGCCTTGTACCGATAAACTAGCCTTGTACTGCCATTTTATGGTGATGTAAAGTATTCAAAAATTTGCAATGTAAACCATTACATGGCAGAAACTTTAAAATAAACAAAAACATGACACTTAGTACAGGGGCTTTTTGGCTGGTGAAGTCAGATAAAACGTGGCTCAAGTGCTCGTTTAAAATTAAAAATGGAATTTCTCACAGTCGAATTTCTTGGTAGACAACAAAAGTTTATCATCAATTGTCGCGCCGAAGGTATGACATATAGTCAAACTAAGCTTGCATGAGAGGAAGAATACCCAGATCTCGGAACTTTAACATCCAATCTCATTGCTACTGCACTTAAAAGAGCTGCATTAGGTCTATACTGGGAAAAAGGGAATCATGGCGGTGCAGATCCATACCTATGCGAGCGTGATCAGCTCACTTTAAAAGAAATTATCGAAGATTCTGCTTACAAAGGTGAAGCTCTAGAAGCAGCTGACATTATTGACGAGGCGTTCAAGTTGAAAGAGCTCAGAAGAGATTATGGTTACAGATTCCTTCTTGAGATTAATTGTCCTACTCTTGCAGAAGAAGTTATCAATACTCTTGGTGGTGATGATGTATCGAGACCTTATGTTAACCATATTTTACAGCAATTGCATTGCAAGCTTAAGGCATGCCAAGAGATTGAAGAATCAAGATACATGGCGTGTGAACCAAGAATTATCGAAGAATTCTACGATAAACATCGTGAAACAATCGAAAGTACTCCAGAGGAGTTGATTTTTAGTATCGATGAAACATTCATAAACAAATTTAAGAAGAAGAAAGTTGCATTACCTGAGGAGATAGAGCATATGATCGCCAAAGGAATTCCAAACTTTCCGCACATTACAGCTTTATGCGGATGCTCAATGACAGGCAAATCTGTCCCACCTCTCTTTGTTCTCCCATGTATTGCAGAACTACCTAGAGAACTGAAAGTATTCCAGCGCGAAAGACATTGTTGGTTTACTTCTACGCCAAAAGGCTGGGTGAACAGAAGTGTATTCTTATTGTATTGCATTTTCTTCATCGAGTGGCTTAACTTTGAACGCCAGAGAATGCCAGAAGATATACGTGACAAGCCTGCTCTCATTGTGTGTGATGGACACTCCAGCCGCGAGAATCCTCTGGCATTGTTCCTTTTGGCAAGTGCCAACATCAAATTAATTGTTCTTCCCGCACATACAACACACATTTTACAAGTATTTGATGTTGGCATTGCCAAAAGATTAAAGTCCAAATTCACGGATTATCTGAGAGATTACATTAAGGCACCGAAGCAAGAGTTCAACAGCAATGCTGCAATGATGCGCTACGCCATTATCTACTCATTTATTAGCGCATGGCAAGAATCAGTATCATTAAGAACGGTTCAAAATGCTGCCGCCGCCTGCGGTCTTTGCCCTTGTTCTGTAGAAGCTCTCAAACATAATAAGTATGTTCGTGAATTGACTCCTGCAGAAAAAGAATTGCAAGAGAAAAGAAATTACCGTAATCGAAATCGTTTTAACATCAATGGTGAAGAATTGACGACAATGGACATGATTTGCGCAATTTCTGACAATATTAAGAAGAATCCTGCAAATCACAGATTTTGCAGGAAGCCAGAACAAGACACCAAGGAACGTTTCTACTTTTGGATTACAAACTATCTTGATCCCAGCACTGAGTTGTTGACAAAACTCCCTAATATGCCAGGTTATAGTCCAAATGATTAGGAAAATTTTCCAATTTTCCAACAAAAATTTTCCAATTCTCCACCAAAAATTTTTAATAAAATATTATTTTACGGCATTGCCCGTCACTTTTTCGGTACAAGGCTAATATCACGGTATAACCCCCCTGAAAAGACTTTAATTCAATTTTGAACTCAGTTTATGATTAATGTTTATTTACTAATTTTAAACATCCGATAATAAGTTTAATCCTATATCGAAACTCACAAATTTTGAATATATTAATACGTTTTTTTTGCGTTTACTTCATTTATCATCAATGTTCCGCCATAGGCTAGCAGTAAGCAGAATACCTCATGAAGGTTCTGATGAATCAGCTTTTCCTGATTGTGAATACCCCATGATTACAGGTGATTTTATAATTCTGGAACCAAATCAAGAAATTTGCACAAAAGATGGTTATTTTATAGCAAGTAATAATACAAATTATGAAGTTGCGGCTAGGTTCTATTCTCCTGAAACTGAGAAATACAGTGAACCTGTCACGGTTAATAAACCACTTGCGGTTTCATATAATAAATCAACATCAAGGGTCTATTCAAAAATTAAATGTCTAGACACTTCAAGTGGATGCAAACTTCAAATTGTTGAATTTTATCCATCAGAAATTGGTCATAGTGAAGAATCAGTGGAAAATAATGTTTATATTTCAGATTCAAAATTGCTGTCCTATTTTTCAACAAAGGCATCAGGATCATATTCTCAAAAGGTAAAACATAATTACGAAATTAAGAAAAATGGTGATAAGCTTAAACTTATAAGTAACATTGATTCTTTTAATTATAATAACATTAATCCATCCATCAAGAAAATCACTATTACATCAGATAATGATAAATTCGATATGGATGTTTATACAGGAGATAACACATTATCCAATGCAACAAAATTTAGCACAGAGATAGACGTAAGTAAGGATTCATTCAAGGAGATTAATGAAAAATTTGAAAAAGGTGAAGAGGCAAAGTTATCCGTAGAGGGTGAAGTTAAATTAGAGTATGAGAAGACAGGAGAACCACCAGAAGGTACAGAGAAAATGCTTTTCGAAGAAGATTTAGAAGTAATCCTTCTTGGTGAGGATGCTGTCAAAACAGCAGATCAAGTTAAAGAAGATACAAAGAAGACAGCAAAGAGCAAATTCCCAGTATGGGCAATTGTAGTCATTGTGATTGCAGTTGTTCTTGTCATTGCAATTATTGTTGTCGTCGTTATTATTGTGATTAAGAAGAATAAGAAGATTTCTGCATCAGATCATGGCGATGATAAGTAATCAATAAAAAGTTTATTTCAAAACTTTTTTTAATAAAACATAATGAATTAAGATGACTGTTTCTGATTGATATACCTAAAATCTGGGAAAGATTATTTTTTTGGGAAAAGATAATCTTGTAAAAAATCTGGCAATGTAATTTATGGGGTGGGATGGTTTTCGGCGTCACTTTGCGTCATGCATGACTAGGACAAGAATTTCTTATAATGAATAGTTAAGTTGATCCAATAAACTTTAGTGGGCATACATCTTTAGATTGTCTTTTGAAATTGTATATATACAAGGAAACATTTGACACAGCATTTTCCTCAGAGAAAGGCATTACTCATCTAAAATTTTAACCTAGTATTCTATGTAAAATAGCTTCCAATAGGAAATTATTCAGCGTTTTTGCATCTGAATCTAGTAGTAGGATATGATGGGTTATGTGACATTTTTTGTAAACGTAAGAATTCATACAATATTGAACGATTTTGTATCATTTTTTTTAACATATGAAGTAAAAAAATGTATGATTCTTACGGTTTTTATTCTTACGTTTTTGAATAAATCAAGATTTAAAAAATTTTCAAAATTGTAAGACATTTACACTCAACCCATACATAATGAAATAAAAAATAAAATTTTTTAAAAAATAAACCATTAAAATAATTTATTTTTTATCTTTTATAAAAGAAGCTATATATAGATGATGTCAGATATTCCGCGATTAATTAAACATTGTTTAAATCCTGAATGGAATCAATGGAGTCATAAACGAGTAAAAGAAATTAGAAATAATTATTTTCATGAATGAAAGAAATTAGAAATTCATGTCTTACATTTTTGAATAATTTATTTTTAATTCGTATGAAAATGAGTAGATCAAGATTCGTAACCGTCAATCAATTAATGGATGCTCTTTCACCAATTCTTGAAAATGTTAAACAAGTAGATGTTTATTTCGATGATTATGTAGAAAGTTTATATTATAAAGGTAAGTTTAATATTAAAAATATGCTTTTGCATTTGATAATAAATTAATTGAAAATGCAAAAATTTGGGAATTAATTCCGAATATTGAATTTATAACAAATATTAATGATAAATGGTTTAAACGAATTCCAACCACAAAAGTTCTTTGTAAATTAATGATCAAAACTGAGGAAAAAGAATTTAACGGGTTTAAATATCATCCAAATAAAGTTTCAGAACTAGAAAATGAAAAACTTCAGAAAAAAATTAAACGATAGACTTTCAAATGATCGTATTGAAAAAATAAATAAACTAGCAGAAGTTGCATTTAATAATGAAATATTTGATGAATATAACCTTGAACTCAGTGATGGATTTTAAGGACCCGGGCTCAACGAGTCATGATTTATGAAATCAATTATTTGATTCATTCTTTCTTCAATAATTTCTATTCTTTTTGTTAAATCATCTATTTTCATTAATGAGGTGATTCTTGATTGAGGAATAGATTTCAAACTAACCACTCCTTTTATTTTTGAAATTTTGAATCCATCAACTTTAAACATTTTATTCAATTTACATGTTGTCAATTCTTCAAATAATTTTTTATTGTTAGCATAATAGTCATTAAATTCTCAAAGATGAAAAAATTTTTATTTCAGTAATTGGTTTAACAACGTTTATTTTTTGTTGAACATTTTCACTTTCATTTATTTCTTCCTCCTCTGTTTCATTTATTTTTAAAATCGGTTTCATTTATCATTAAATAAAAATTAGAATATAAGTGATGAAATATATTTTTTAATTAATATTAAATCAGAAATGGCGGCAGGATTCTTTAAAAAATTATGGGATGGAATTAAGAAAGCTGCAGGTTGGGTTTATAAAAAGGTTATTAAACCTGTTGCAAACTTTTTGGCACCAGTAGCGAAAACGGCAGGAACTATCATAGGTGGAGTATTAGGTACTAAAGCAGGTAATCCGGCAATGGGAGCACAAGCGGGTAACGCAATTGGTGGAATTGCTGAAGGAATACTTAATAAAATAGGAGGTAGATAGTGGAAAAATAAATAAATATTATTTTTATCTTAGTATTGGTTGTAGTCTTTGATAAACTTTTTCTCCTTTATTTAATATTTCTCTTATTGGGGCAGCTTTTGGTGTTATTGATTCAGCAATGTCACTAATTGCTTCTTTATTCTTAAATATCCAATTTGCTCCTTTCTTCATTGTTTCCCAAACTTTATGCGCTCCTCTTTTTACTTTATCCCATAATTTTTTAAAGAATCCTGCCGCCATAGTTGATTATTTCATTAAAATTAAAAATTCATTTTCATCTTTTAATTTTGATTTTTTATTTAATAATAAATGACGACTAACTATTTGGTGCCAAACACTAAACCGATTAATGGAAATGTGTTTCATTCATTCGAAAAGATAAATGAAATATTCGCAAAGAATGACGGTAGAAGATATTATAGAGAACTTGAAAGTTCATGCTATGACTCTGATACTCCATATTTTTGATGATAAACAAACTCATTTAAGAATTACAAATCCGGCTCATGATGTGAACCAATTAGGTGACACATATATTAAACGCAAAGTTAAAGCAACTCTAGTTTCAAATAAAGCTTTCACATGTGATGCCGCTTTTAAATGCATGCGTTTATTCGTTGGTTACAAATCATCAAATCAAAGCTTTAAACAATTAGAAGTAGAAACCGAAAGAGGTGATGGGTTATCTTCAAATGGATTGCGCCCGTGAATCTTTCGCATTTGCAACATATAAACCAAAATCAGAAAGGAAAGTTAAAAAGTTTGTTCATTCGTTATATAATAATTGTTCAAAAATATGATAACTCAGTATGTGGTAAATATATTGACCCTTCAGAAGTTTTCAAGAAAGCAAATGAAGAAGTTAATATCACTTTTGATATGATTATTCCGGTAAATGATTTGTTAGCATTTCAGGCGTTCGATGATTACCCTAAATCATTTGGTGAAATCATTCTTAAATATTATGTTTTCAGGGATACTTTAGTATTTTGTCAGGTTGACCCGTTAAGAGTTGCTGATTTACAAAATTACGTTTATGAAAAGATAACTGATGAAAATTATGAAAAGATTATGAATCATGTTTATAAATATGATCGCAAATTCCAACAAATCGGACTTCCTGCCAAATTAATTACAAGCTTAGCCGCTACATCTGCTGACGCAACAGTTGATGACGTTATTATTTCATGCACAAAGATGGAAGTTTTAGAGGATAAATGCATTACACCAGGATACGGTTTAATTGAAGAATCAGTTAAAGCAATACCACGTTTATTTAGTAAGGAAGATCCATTCATGATTCCAGCTCAACATATTGACGTTCGTTCACTAAATGGAGGTTGCATCACTCCTGAAGGTATTAGCTCAGATTTCTCATACGCTCTTCATAATGTTACAGATGTTGTGTTAGCATTTCCGAAGAATGCAATGCAAAGAACAGTTTTAGAAAATTCAATGCTTCGAGGTCTTCAGGTCACTATAGATTCCAGAAACTTCCCCGATCAAGCGATGACCACAGTGGGCGACATATTCTTTACACGTATGCTTCAAGCTTCTGATTTAGATGGAGTGAATGAATGCACGGAAGAATACGAGGACTCATTAACTAGACCACTGAATGATGATGATGGCAAGCCATTAAACATGGAAAGACCAAACTTCATTCTTATGCACTATTCCAGTTCAACGTGATGGAGCGGGTATATTCTTTGATGGATTAGAAACTTTCAACTCACAAGTTACAGTACAAGTGAAAGCTTATCCAATCATTCAGTGTGAAAAATGACACTTACTGTTCAAAGGTGACAAATCCTCCTCAGGTTTGGTTTACTAGGACTACGTATTGGACATGGACACCGGATGAAGGTTTGAAATATCACCAACAGGTACACCACCACAGTATAGAAGTTCATATGATGAAATATTGATGAATAGAAATGTTTAAAATTATAAATTTATTTTTGATTAAATGGATTTCAATTCTGAAGAATTAGCGGGAGTATATAATACATACGTAGATGATATGATTAATGAAGCATTGAGTGATAATAGAAATGCTCTATCTAAGGAAAAATTAATGAAAATTCCATATTCTGAATGTTACTTAAATTCAATCACTGCAGCAATTGGTAAACAAAATAAAGGTAAAACATTAACGATATTAAAACAAATTATCATTATTGCTAACACTTCCCCCTATTCACACGTGTTAATTTATATCAACGTTCAGGTTCACCTTCAGATGATACATTTGAATCTTTAAAGCATTTAATCAAAATTCCAATTATTTATTTATCACAAGAAGAAGCAGAAGATTATTTAAAAAACTTTTTAATGTATAAAGAATTATATAATACAATCAAGAAGCAAGGATTAGAGGATAAAATTATTGATAAACAACGGGATGAATTATTTGAAACACTTTCTATTTCAAATTTTGATAGAGAATTTTTGCATTCACTAATTTTTCTAGATGATGCGGTGAAATCAAAACTAATAACTAATGAGAAATCATATTTTAATCAATTATTAACTCAATGTCGACACATTCAGTGTTCATTCTTCATGGCTGTTCAATACTTCAAAGCATTAAGCACAAACATTAAATCAAATCTATCAACCCTTTTCATTTTCAGTGGTTTTAGTCGTCAACAGTTGAACGTTATGCTTTATCAAGTGAATTTACCAATGAGCATTAATGAACTTTACACACAATATCAGCAATTAGGTGAACATGGAAAAATAATAGTTGATTTAAATAAAGGAGGTGTTAAATTTGATTAACTTTTTATAATTAATTTTTATTTTTTATTTATAATTAAACATGACAGAAATAGCAAATCTTCTACAGGTTCCATTAAAACAAGGGACAAACAAAAAGGGTGCATATAATAGAACTATGAAAGTTCCAGACGGAATGAAAGAATTAGTTCATATTGTTGCTGGTCTTCAAAAGGATGTAAAACAAATGAGAAACGTTTTAACAT